TATTAATGTGTTGTGATGGGTGTGTTTGTGAATGGTTATGTGTTGTTATATTGTTTGAAAAAATTATGAATTAATGAAAATAAATACTGTATATATATACTTGTTTGAAATTATTGTCAAGTGGGTCAAAAATTTATTTTTGTTTATCATGATGAGATATTATTGTTCGGATATATTCTTGTTTGGATATTTGAATGATGCATGACTTGTCAAGGTATTTTAGTATATGATGTTAATGGAAATTTCTGTTTGGTTAATTATTACCACGTGGTAAGCCCTCATTGGACCCAATGAGTGGCGTGTCGCTTGGTCCAACTCACCTTTGGCTGGGTGATTTGGCGTCCGAGCATGGCGAAAGGAGGATATAAGGTGCAGTCATGCAAATTAAATACTTGTTCGGTTTGTTTGAAAGTATTGTTCGGTTAAATGTTTTGTGTGCCCACTTAGCAATTGCATGATTAGTTACATCCGCATGCATCATTACATATTAATTTTTGGTTACTGGGACTTTTAAGTCTCATTCCCTGTGATTAATATTTTTACAGGAGCGAGTCCGGCCGAGAAAACACTAGAGGTATAACTATGGTGTATGAGACACCATCTTTTACGTTGCCTCTTGTTTTAGATTATACAATGTACCTTGTGCCAACTTAGGACATATCTTCTTTGTGAAGTATGTAAACTCTAATCCTTTTTATTAAAAATATTTATATGACCAAGAGGATTATGTCTGTCCCTCTTGATTTATGATCTGATTTGAATATCATGACATGAGGATTATGTCTGTCTCTTATGGTTTTAATTGCCTTTTTGGATATTTTAAGACTTGTGTTATGTCTTGGATGTATCATGGTAAGAAAATTTTCTACCATAATAATGGTTTTAATAATTTGCGAAAAATCAGTTTGTAAATTTAAGGGTGTTACAATTGGCAATGGCTATTCTGGCAAGTTTTTTGGGACGTTTGAGCATGAGGTTGAGGTCCATCATGAGTTTTCCTTTTGCGAAGCCTTTACGGAGCATGAAGAAGAAGACATGTATAATGCTCCACGTATGCTCTCTTGGATATTACTGTCAAATTGCTTTCCATGTCTATATATTATTGAATTGCTCTTTGATTTGCCTGTAACTTTATTTTAATTTAGAGAGAGAGAGATTGATGAGAGACACGAAGAGATGAATTGATGTATTTATAATAAACTCCTAACAATTATGACAAGCATAACATATGAATCATATCAATTAAATATTAATTTATTTAGGTTTTTATGATTGAATATTTAAGATATTTTACTTATTAGTTGTGATTTTAAGTTTAATATTTTTACTTATTAGTTAGTGAAAATTTAATCTGAGAGTATTTAATGTGATATAGTGCACTGCACGAGTTAGTCTTAATGATTTGAATGTGGTCAAATTAGTGTTGATGGCTATTGGCTTATGGTATTTGGTTTAAACACTTGATTTGGTGAAAACTGTTGTGTGTAAGTTTTGAAAAGAGTGTCCAATTTTTTTTAGAAAAAATTTGAGTTTGACACTAATGCCATTAGTTAGAGCTGGAAAAGATCTTCCTGTAGACACCTAGTTCGCATCATTCGGACGTCAAACGAAGATTTAGAGCGCGTCAAAAGTTGGCCCTAATGTTATTAAATTGATAGCAGAATTTATTGTCAAAATTTGTACAATTGCACCACGGCACATGGTACCACAAGCCACAGCGCATGCCTCAAAATTTTTTAAAAATTCTCTTGTTTCAAATTCTTAATCAAATGCTTTTACTTATGTAATAATCCCATGCTTTTGCATATTTGTGAACTCTAATTTGTTTAGTTGCAAGACTTGAAAATAATTTTAGTTTTGTAAACTTGGGGTCCCTATTTTGCTAACCATTGAAAACTTTGTATTGTGATAATTACTATAATCCCATTCCCTAATTATTTGGGGTTTGGTCTTAATTATGGAATTAGAAGGAGGAGGATATTACACTTTCTACTACATTGATTAAGCTCCCTAACCAATGTGGATGGTGTCCTGTTAATTGATTTTTTTTAAAAAAAATTTTAATATCTTTTCTACATCAGTTTTAGATCCCATGTAGATACTAGACTATCTATATTAGTTGTACAATTAATGTAAAAAGTCCTGACTTTTAAACCTCTAGAACAACATTATTTTGTGAATTGATATGAAACCATTTTTTAACCTCGTTAAAAAGTCTCTTCCATTATACTATGTGAGGATCATTTCTTTAACAATCTTCCATCTTTTCATTAGGAAAGAAGGGGAATAGGAGAGAAAAGATCACTTGTATTTCGATGTTGTGACCTTTTGGCTGTAATGAATCACTCTCCATTTCAATAATAATAATAATAACAATAACAATAATAATAATGCTGAGTTTCCCTTAGCACTCGTCCGTGAGCCTAATATCCAGACATGGCTGGGAACTGGATCCTCTCATTGTTGCTACTCTCAGCGGCTCACAGAATCTATAAATCTCGGACGTCTATGTAATTAATTGGTCCATAATGCGCCACATTCATGAGGATTTTTAAAAAGGACATTGATAGTAAAGTAAAAAAAAAAGATATTAATAATAGTTTTTTTTTGGGCAAAACTTTCTAATAAATAAATTGTATAAATTGATCCAGACAGTTACAAATAATAATCCTAATTGTAAAATAAGAATTACATTTAAAATTTTAATATCTTATTTCCAATTAAAATATCTGGATTTGCAATTTTTTTAAAAAAAATTATTGCAAACCTAACTATTATTAATTTATTATGAATGACAATAAGTCCTAAAAGAATAAATTAATAAAAGTTAGGTTTTCAGTAAATTCTTCTTTGAAAAATAAATTATAAATATTTATTTAAATAATTATAGATTCATATGTTCTAATTGGAAGTAAAATATTTAAATTTTGAATGCAATTCTCAATTTATAATTATGATTCCTGTTTGTAACTATCTAAAATCAGAACCAATTTTAGTATTCATCATAAAGATGAACATTAAGAGCTAATCACCTCTAAATTATTCAAATCTAATTTTCATGATATAGATTTACAGCTTTTCAATTAGTGTTTTTAAATGAATTTTTTTTTGAAAAATTGACAATTAAGAGTTGGCTGTCATTTTATATTTATATCTATTAAAATAATTTTTTAAAATATAAAAGTAAAATAGTTGTAAATCTATGAGCTCTCATTGGTTCCAACTAAAACCCATCTTTTAAAAAGTTTTGCCAAAAAAAAAAGAAGTTATCTTTAATTTTTTTTTTTTTTACTTTACTGTCATTTTACTATTTAAAATCCTTATGAGGTGGCTCATTACCGACCATTTGATTACTTATGCATTCAGGATTTAGAAGCGACAATAAGAGGATCCGGTTCCGGCTGTTACTGAGCCGAGCCCATTTCAGATGCGGGTCGTTTTTTAAACACGACACGTGAAAGTGATGCTGCATGACGCTCTGGTTTCTGAGCCATGCCGTATAATGACTATTGCATGACCTTTTACAGCTGGAGTAGCCCTTAAACCGTCTACAAGATTCCTTCGTACGTTGGTGCTGTAAATATATAAAAAAAAATTAATTAATTTTTAAATTTTAACTCGATAATAATTTAATTTTAAATTTTAATTTGATATAATTCAGTTTTTATAATTTCAATCACATAAAATTTTGGTTCTTATATTTTTAAAAAGTAACATTATAAATATTAAAATTATTTTATAATTTAGGGATTAATTTTCTAAATGACTACTCCCTCCGTTTAAAAATGTAAGGCATTTTTAACTGAATCTCACCTTTAATAAAGTAATTACTTACTTTTAAATTAACTATTTTTTTTATATTTATCTCTATTAAGCATCCTGCAATAAATATAAAGTCATTATCAATAGGGACACCTTTAAAAAAACAACAATGATTATATCTCGAAAGACTAAAAATACCTTATATTTTTTAACATTTAACTATTCAAAAAATGTCTTGAATGGGGAGAGTAAAACTTTTAAAGATTAAAATATAAGATTAACATTTTAACCAGTTAAAATTATAAAAACTGAGTTACACCGAGTCAAAGTTTAGAAATTAAAATTGAATTAAAATTATAAGAATTTAGTTACAACAAGTCAATATTTAAAAATGGGTTATAACTGAATCAAAATTATAGAAATTAAATGATTAGTTTTTCAAAATATAATTTTAAAGATTTATTAAATTAAGAGTTAATGAGTATCTTAGATCTTAAACTATTGTATGAATAGCATACTGGATACTGAACTCTTAAAGTGTGCAAAAATTTCTCTCAACTTTTAAATTTTGAGCGCTTGAAATCCTATCATTAAGTTGAAGAAGACATGTGTTATTTTTAAGGGTTAAAATGAGTATCACCTCAACGTGTGACCAGGCCCCACAACTATAAAAATAACGGCATTTTCTCAAACTTAATGGCCATGTTTCAAGCATTCAGAATTTAAAAGTTGAAAAAAAATTTTAAATATTTTAAGAGTTTAAAATTTAAGATTCCATTCGCACAATAGTTTAAGGTATAAGATGCTTATTAACCCTTAGCTTCATATAAAAATAAATTTTACAAACATTAATTATTAAAGAACTATTATATTTTTAAATAAAATAGAAAGCAATGTATATTTGTTTGATATTTTTTTTAAAAAATAAATGGGGTCAAATTAAACAAAATTTTTTGTCAATGGCTTATTCTAATGACAATACTACCTTTTCCTTTAAAAAAAGTTTGCCATTTAAACTTAATGTTAACATGTCTCCGTGTGTGTGTGTTCTTTTTTTAAAGGAGAAAGGGTTAAAGCAGGAGTATAATTTGAAAAAAAAAAAACGTAAAATATTTTTTTAGAGGGAACAAGTGAGGTTTTTAAGGACATCGTGTATAATTTTCTTCGCATGGATGATATTAACATTTTGTTAGTGGAAACTCCATTTTTATTTTTTATATACGTAGTCCGTCCTTGGAGCCTTTTCTTTTCGGTTTTTCCTAAGCTTCCCGTTGATAGCGAAAAGAGCAGCAAGCAAGAGACTGAGAGACTGAACCCTTCTTCTTCTTCTGTTTCTCCTTCACCCTCTTCATCTCCAACCTCTGCAATTAATGGTGCGCATCTCTCTGCTTATTTCTTATTTGTAGGTAATTTGCTTCATTCTTATATCTATCTGAGTTTCTGTTAAACCCAGTTAAAAAAAAAAAAAGCTTCATTTTCCATTATCTCTCCCAATCTGGTACCATAAGTAGAGATTTCCCCCCTTTAATGCTCAAATTCCTTGCTTTAGGTTTTCCTTTTGTCCACATTATGCTCTGACAAAACTCTTCAAGTGAGTGAGAGATCAATGTTCTTCATTCCGTCCAAAATTTAAGCAAGAGAGTCAATATGATCATTTTCTTTCTGGTGTTTTTTATGTGAATATGCCAAATCCAAATAATTGGATTAAGGGTTTATTATTAAATTGGTACACGATAAGTTCTTTCTTTTCTTTCTACATATCCTACTTCTTATAGTTTTTTCCCCCTTTGTTCTACATACCCAATTTGGTAACAAGGAACTTACATATGGGTTCGTTGCAGTGAAGATGAAGATGAAACTCTGATTAGCAAATGGCTCCATGGGCTTGTAACATTTAATCATACTTGAGCATCTTTGTTGTGAACTTAGCAAAGGAACTTCTTAATATTGTTGAAATGAATTCCACAAACATCAAAGGGAGCTCATCATCATCATCATCATCATCATCATCATCATCATCATCATCTCGAAGGTTTAAGTATGAAGTGTTTCTGAGTTTTAGAGGTGAAGATACTCGCAGTGGTTTCACTGCTCATCTTTTTTCTGCTCTTCAACGAAGAGGTATATTTCCCTTCAAGGATGACGAAAGGATCCAGAAAGGAGATTCCATTTCAGGAGAACTCATTAAAGCAATTGAGCAGTCCCGAATTTCTATGGTGGTCTTCTCCAAAAACTATGCTGATTCAACATGGTGCTTGGAAGAACTAGCAAAGATCTCTGAGGAAGTTTTAGAATCAGGGCAGATGGTTTTTCCAGTTTTCTATGATGTGGATCCATTAGAGGTACAAAATCAGAGTGGCAATTTCAAAGAAGCCTTTGATAAACATGAGCGAAACTACAGTGATAACATAGAGAAGGTACAAAGATGGAGGATAGCTTTGACTCAAGTTTCTAATCTCTCTGGTTGGGATGTATGGACTAAGTAAGCAACTTCTCTGGTTCATTACTAGATATACCATAGTCCCATATTTAGAATCTTTGATTTCTATTTTCAAAAACAATTTTTTATTTTTAAAAACAAAAAAAAAATTAAAAACTTGTTTAAATAAGTATTTTGAATTTAATTGTTTTTAAAACTATTTCATTTTTTATTTTTAAAAACAAAAAATGGAAACATCTTAAAGTTGTTTTTTTTTTTTGTTTTCAAAACATACTACATTTAATTATTAGAAAATGTAATTAGCTTAACTAATTTCTATCACAAACTGCACTATTAACCAGCTGTAACTATTACCGTCAGTTTATTTTTTAATTCTAAAATTATTTTTAAATTAACATAACTAAATGAATTTTCATTCTATTTTGTTTTGAAAAACACTCCTAATTAACATTTTTAAAAACTTGATAAATGATAAAGTATAAAGACATTGTACAATTCATGTAACCGGCCCTACGTAGTAGGATAAGGCTTCTTCTTGTTTGTTTTGAAAAACCATTCTAAAAACTGTATTACAAAACAATTTTTAAAAATAAAAAATGAGAACAGGAATCAAACACGTCCAAAGTGATTAGAGAATTGATCATAATCATACAAGTGTATATGATGAGTCCTTCCAAAAAAACTTGAACTATTTTAGTGTAGGTGATTAGCGTAAAAAAATTCTAATATTCATGTTTATTAAAAGTTTACCTCAGTGGTTTCTTAAGTGATGATTGGATGGTTATGGTTTTTGTGTTTTGTTTTTTAGATCAGAGTCAGAAGTAATTGATAAAATTGCTGATGAAGCAATAAGCAAATTGGGGCATAGATTCTCAAGTTTTGCTGATGATCTTATTGGGATGCAATCCCGAGTGGAAGCTTTAGAAAAGCTTCTAAATTTAGAATCTGACAAAGTTCGAGTTGTAGGCATTTGGGGAATGCCTGGAATAGGGAAGACTACTCTAGCTGCAGTTTTGTACGACAAGATCTCTCATCAATTTGATGCTTCTAGTTTTCTCCTTGATGTAGGAGGAGTTGCAAAACGCTTCAGTATGTTTCACCTACACCGACAAGTCATTTCTCAAATAATGTCAGAAAAAAATCAGGAGGTACCAGATGGTTATGAGGGTATGAATATCCTGAGACAGTGGCTTTCCTGCCATAAAACTCTTATTGTTGTTGATAATGTTGAGCATGGACATCAATTGGAGTACTTGTCTAGAGATTTTGTGTCGTTTGCCAAAGGAAGTAGAATCATCGTAACATCTAGAGATGAGGATATACTAGAATCCTGTGAAGTGGATGAAATCTACAAGGTTGAACTTTTGAAGGATCATGAAGCTCTTCAACTTTTTTGTAGAAAAGCCTTCAACCGAGATGATCCCTTGAGTGATTTTCAAGAGTTGACCCATAGACTACTTCAATATGCCGGAGCCCTTCCATTAGCAATCAAAGTGCTAGGTTCCCAATTGTTGAGAAAACAAAAGTCAGAGTGGAGTGCTGAGTTAGAAAGATTGAAAGAAATTCCAAACAAAGATGTTATGCAAGTTCTTGAAACAAGTTATAATCAGCTACGGACACTAGAAAAAGAAATGTTTTTAGATATTGCTTGTTTCTTTAATGGATCAGATGTGAACCATGTTCACAATATCTTAGAAAATTGTGGTTGTGGATTATATGATGTGATGGGAAATATTACAATTCTTTGTAATCAATCACTTATAAATATTGTCAACGGAACACTCTGGATGCATGATTTGTTGCTAGAACTGGGACGAAAAATTGTTCGGGAAGAATCTCCTGAACATCCTGCAAAGAGAAGTAGGCTGTGGTCGTATGAAGATCTTCAAGTTCTAAATAAAGTGAGTTGCTGTTTTTGTTATCATTACATGCTGAGGTTTTGTTTCCTAACTTTTTTATGTGTTCATTCTTAGGGAACAAAAAAAGTAAAAGCAATCGTTTTGCACCCAGAAGTTCCTCAAGAGGTCACATTAAAGGCTGAAGTTTTATCACAAATGAGCTGCCTTAGACTCCTTATACTGCCTATTGTGAAGTCTTCAGGGAACCTGGGTTATCTCTCCGATGAATTACAATTTCTTTCATGGAAGAAATATCCTTTTAGCTATTTACCATCAGGTTTTGAGCCAACATGGCTTGTTGAATTGGTCATGCCTAACAGCGACCTAACACAACTATGGGAAGGGAAAAAGGTACATAGTCTCTTTGAACTATATGTTATTGGTATCTAATTCAAGTTTTACAAAAAATGTTAGTTGAAACTTTATTTTCTTGAAAAATGTTTATATCTTTACATTTATACCCTTGAGTTTTCTTAGTAACACGTAATAAAAAAAGCAACGGTAAAAATGGTTTTAAAAAAAAAAGTAAAATTTACCCAATACCCTATATTTTGGATCAAGGGATATTTTTAGAAAGTGACTTATATTGTAGTTTGGAAGGGGTATTAATTTTTTTTCTAGGGCAAACAACTAAAAAGGGTGAATTAAACCAACAGATGAATGATCGTAATAATTTTTTTGGTGTATGGAGCTTTTCATTTGAATAAATTGATTCGGTTTGTAGTTTAGAAAGGTTAGTCGTTGGTAATGGTAGTTAGCTAATTGTCTTTACTCCTACTCTTTACAGGTTTTGCCCAGTTTGAGGAGCATAGGTCTACGTGGTTCTAAAAGTCTAGTAAGGACGCCAGACTTTAGCGGGGTAAGAAATCTTGTGGAACTAAATCTAGAAGGATGTATCGGATTATTGCAAGTTCATCCATCTATTGGGCATCTTAAGCGGCTTCTATCCTTGAATTTGAGAAATTGCACTCATTTAACCAGTATCCCTCATAAATTACTTCTTATGAGTTCTCTTGAGACTCTGAACCTCTCTCATTGTTCAAGTCCACAAAATATTTCAAGCACGAAGGATCTCAATAGGCCTGAACCCGCCTATCATTCAGAACCCCTGCATCTTCAACAAGTATGCTTATGTTAGCCTTTCCAAGTAGATCTATTGTTACTCTCAGTTTCTCACTAGTAGATTAAATCAAGTAAATTCCAAGTACTTAATTCATTTAATGACAACATGATTTGGGATGTAAATATTATGACATTATATATAACCTACCAAAAATAGTCTTTTAGGATTATATCTAACTTTTTATTAGATGCAGCTTCCCATTTTATTTAGTTTTGGGGAGTTTCTACCCAAATTTATTCAATGTTTGTGTTCGTGCTTGTATTCACTGTATGCTATAAGATGAAAGATGACTCTCACATCTATGTATAAGAATAAACCAAATTTTGAAAGAAAACTCACGTGCTCTTCTCTCACACAGACTATGATGGCATCCACGTCAAAAGAGGCTTCTTCTATTGCTGAAACTAATTCCACTAATATCCGAGGCAGCTCATCTTCAATAAGGACCTGGAAATATGAAGTGTTTTTGAGTTTCAAAGGTGATTACACTGATCGCCACAGTTTCACTTCTCATCTCTTTTGTGCTCTTCAACGAAAAGGTATATTTCCCTTTAGGGATGACAAAAGGTTCCAGAAAGGAGATTCTCTTTCCCAAGAGCTCATTAAGGCAATTGAGCAGTCTCGGATTTTCATTGTCGTCTTTTCCAGAAACTATGTTAATTCAACGCAGTGCTTGGAAGAATTGGCAAAGATCTCAGAGAGAATTTTTGATCCAAGATACACTGTTGTACCGGTTTTCTATGATGTGGATCCATATGAGATACAAACTCAGAAAGGGAATTTGAAAGAAGCCTTTGAAAAACATGAGCAAAACTTAAGTGATAATATATCCCATCAGAACTTAATTGATAATCTAAAGAAGCTACAAAGATGGAGACTAGCTTTGACTCGCGTTGCAAATCAACCTGGTTGGGATGTACGGACTGAGTAAGTAATATTCTCTCATTCATTTTTTCTTTAGTTTCTTATATATGGACTTTTATCGATCTGTTCATGCTAGTGAGTCTACCTCCCTGGTCTTTTAGTTGATTATTAGTTTTTTTTTTCCTCCAGATCAGAGTCAGAAGCCATTGATAAGATTGTTGATGAAATAGTGAGCAAATTGGGTTATAGATTTTCAAGTTTGGCTGATGATCTTGTCGGGATGCAATCTCATGTAGAAGCTTTAGAAAACCTTCTGAATTTAGACTCAGATGAAGTTCGAGTTGTAGAGATTTGGGGAATGCCCGGAATAGGGAAGACAAGTCTTGCTGCAGTTATGTATGACAAGATCTCTTACCAATTTGAAGCTTCTTGTTTCCTTCTTGATGTAGGTGGAGTTGCAGAAAGTTTTGGCATGTTCCACCTACATCGACAGGTCATTTCTCAAATAATGCCAGAGAATCAATACGTGCCAGACGGTTATGAGGGTATGAAGATCCTACGACAGTGGCTTTCCCGCCATAAAACCCTTATCGTTGTTGATAATGTTGAGCATGAACATCAAGTGGAGTACTTGTCTAGAGATTTTGTGCCGTTTGCCGAAGGAAGTAGAATAATCATTACATCTAGAGGTGAGCATAAACTAAAATCCCCTGAAGTGGATGAAAGCTACAAGGTTGAACTCTTGAAGGATCATGAAGCTCTTCAACTTTTTTGTAGAAAAGCCTTCAACCGAGATGATCCCTTGAGTGATTTTCAAGAGTTGACCTATAGTCTACTTCAAAATATCAAAGCCCTTCCATTAGAAATCAAAGTGTTAGGCTCCCATTTGCTTGGAAAACAAAGATCAGAGTGGATCAATGAGTTAGAAAGATTGAAAGTTATGGAAGTTCTTGAAACAAGTTATGATCAGCTTAATGCATTGGATAAGAAAATATTTCTAGATATTGCTTGTTTCTTTAATGGAGCAAATGTGAACCATGTTGAAAATATCCTAGACTCTTTATATCGGGAATATGATTTTTATGCCAAAAATACAGTTCTCTATGATCAGTGACTCATAAGCATTGTCAATGGAACACTTTGGATGCATGGTTTGTTGCAAGCACAAGGACAGAGAATTGTTCGAGACGAGTCTCCTGAAAATCCTGCAAAGAGGAGTAGGTTGTGGTCTTATGAAGATCTTCAAGTTCTAGACAAAGTGAGTTTTTTTTTTAATTACATTACAGACTGAGGTTTTGTTTCTTACTTTATGATGTGTTCATTCTTAGGGAACAAAAAAAGTAAAAGCAATCGTTTTGCACCCAGAAGTTCCTCAAGAGGTCACATTAAAGGCTGAAGTTTTATCACAAATGAGCTGCCTTAGACTCCTTATACTGCCTATTGTGAGGTTTTCAGGAAACCTGGGTTATCTCTCCAATTAATTACGATTTCTTTCATGGAAGAAATATCCTTTCAGCTATTTACCGTCAGGTTTTGAGCGAACATGGCTTGTTGAATTGGTCATGCCTAACAGCAACCTAACACAACTATGGGAAGGGAAAAAGGTACTATTTTGTTCTTTTTTCTAGTGAAAACAGTTGAGATAGGTGAGTTGAACCAACAAAGAAATAATTAATAATTATAAATATATATGTTGTGTATGCAGTTTTTCATTTGAATAAACTCAACCATTCTTATATAGTTCAGAAAGGTCAGTTGTTGGTAATGCTAGTTAATTTCCTTTTCTTCCGCTCTTTTTCTCTTTTACAGATTCTGCAATGCTTGAGAAGCATAGATCTACGTGGTTCTAAAAGTCTAGTCAAGGCTCCAGATCTTAGTGGGGTAGAAAATCTTGAGGAACTAAATCTTGAGGGATGTATTGAATTATTGCAAGTTCATCCATCTATTGGAGATCTCAAAGGGCTCATATTCTTAAATTTGAGGAACTGCATTCGTTTAATCAGTATCCCAAATAGCTTATTCCTTATGAGTTTTCTTGAAACCCTGAACCTTTCTCATTGTTCAAGATTGGAAAGTATTTCAACTGTGAAAGATCTCCATACAAATGAAGCCGATGATCACTCAAAATCCCTGCATCTTCATCAAGCATCTTGTTAGCCTTTCCGAGTGGATATCTTGATAATAACAAAATTTTGAAATTATTTGTTTACTAAATAGTTCTTTTCATATCTCGTTGATTATTGCATATGATTTATTGAGATATTATTATCATTTCAATTCAGACCAAGAAAGATTAATATATGGGAAGTGTAAGGTTGAAGCAATGTCTATGTAGTTGGTTTCAGAAAAGGAAATTGATCATTGCGAGTTCGGAGAACATATTAAGAGGATCTTTGTCCAACTGGCTCCTTTAAGCATCTAAACATGGGATGAAATTTCAAGGAGAAAATAAGAAATATATTAAGAAAAAGAAAGAGACAAATAGGATAAATTGAGAGCTCGAAGAAACAGAGATAATTAATTGCTGGGTGGTTTTACTTTAATAATTCTGAGTCCTCAAACAATATTCAATTTCAGACAGCGAGTGATATTTAAATCGTCTAGAGAGGGAATACTAAATATGTCATTTGGAATCCTAGCAAGATTAATGCATTTTCTCATGTTTAACAGGCTTTGAAAGTTACCCAATTGCTGGATGAAGTTGCAATAATCCAATGGGGTTCAAGGTCTAGTCTCTCAAGATTTGGATCATATTTCTCAAATTTGGAAACATCTGTGAATAAGAATAGTATGACAATTAAGACAATAAGTGATAATTGCATGTAAAAGCATGGGATAAAAGAAAATTACAGTTGTACTTAAAAAACATAACATGCAAAAGACATCTAATCATCTAATCTTGTTTTTGGTTGAATAACTAAACTCCGTTCTTTTGTGCATCAATTGCGGAAAATAGATAAACGAATGTTAACTTACCTTTTTGCCTTCACATAACTTTATGACATTGCTACAGGGCATGATCAATTCAACAGACCTATGAGATTCAAAATTTGATGGTAAACACATACTACAGATATCGATGACATGAAACATATCTTGCTGGAAAGGCTGATAAGGGTTCCACACTCTGAAATATTAGGAGTCTTAGGCTGGTCATGTGCGCTAAAGCTTCAATCTTCAAAAGACTACATTTTAAATCTTCCAAATTCAAGACTATAGCTTCAACCTTCTCAGTAGCCTAGGGATAAAAGCATTAATACAGCAATAATGAAAAGTTAGATTAGTTTACTTTTGCATATTGCACTGATCTACTGAAAATTAATTAAAGAAGAGCGAGCTAAACTTACAGTGTATTCTAGCATAACATGATACATATCATAAAAAAGTCACGGTTGACTTTGTTCTCCTGGCTTATCAGGAGATTCTTGTTGAACAACTGCTTTTCCCATTTCTAGCAACATATCAGGCATTTGTATTCTCCTATCTAAAACAGTCATAAATTATTTTTCAATCAGCAGTTCAATTGCAATATTGACAGCAAAACCACAATTGTGCAAAATTTCCTTTACACAACTAATCTCCTCTTCAAAAAAGCATATGCCGTCTAAAAATATTTCCTTATTCATGAATCCAGATCATTAAAACATATTTCGAGCACTTCCATTATTTGATGGTAGGGAATTCTTTCTGGTAGAGTCAAGGCTCTCCTCTACTCTGTAACATTCTTGACGTAAGAATGAACCCAAACTTACAGCTTGTAATGGATAGCAATTGGCATATTCGAGCACTCTGCGTTATTTCTTCACAGCCTGTTACAGGATAAACACTTTCTGATGGCTCTTTTACAAAAGATTTGAAATGATTGTTCCTTCGCCAACAATTTAACTTTGTAAATAGAATCCACTTCATATGATTGAATAGCCCTTCCATGTTTTTCTTAACATCTGTAACGATTTCGTCAATAACTTCTGAGTATGATGATCCTGGGCATAATTAAGAAGGCAAATACCAAATTAATCAATTTCGTTTGCCCCCTAACTGTGAGTGGATTTATTTACTCATTTTGACAGTGTATTTTACTAATTGATCAATTACTCAAATATAATTCTCTACAGTTTTGCCTATTGATACTTGGTGGACAAACATGACCAAGAAAAGAATCCATGGTAATTACTTACTCATACCGTACATCCCAACCTCACAAATTGGTTACGTGTGTCATAGCTTGCCTCCATAGATGAATGTCGTCTAAATCTGCTGTAAACCTTTATTCGTGTTCAGTAAATGCCATTTTGTAGGTATTCCTCTGTTTTCGGACCTCAGATGGATCCACATCGCAGAAAATTGGTATAACGACGTGTCGCGCTGATGATGGATGTGGGCAGCAATCTCCAAGAATTCTTGCAAGCACCATACAGAAGAAGCATAGGTTTCGGAGAAGACAACAATGGAGATGCAGGATTGTTGAATTGCTCAGAGAAGATGAGGCGGGGTGTGAGAATTTCCTGTTTCGAGCTTCTTGTCATATACATATGTATGGAATTATATTGTTAATTCAGTTTGTTTTCTGTCTCTCCTGTATTTTTCTTTTTGTCCCACCAAAAGATCAGAGTCAGAATTGTTGTTGTTGGTAACAACGTCAAGGAAATTAGAAGCAAATTGGGTCACATAATGGACGAGATCTATTGTCCAAGACAGCATAGCATCTCGGATGATCCTGAAATACGATGTGCTTGTGAGTTTCGAAGTACGTACGTTCGTGGACATTCGCAACGACCTCATTTCTCATCTTTTTCAAGCTTTTCAACGAAATGATTCGTTGACCTTCATGGATGATGAAGAAAGGATCCAGAGAGGACATTCAGATTCCATTTCAGAAAAGCTACTTGATTAAAGCAATCGCCGTATCCCGAATTTGTATTATTTTATGTTTTCTCCAAAAACTATGCTGATGCAGATTCCATTTAAAGAAAGCAATCAGCTGAGAGGGAATTTCAAAAAAGCCTTCGATAAACATGAGCAAAGGTTTAGTGACAATATAGAGAAGGTACAAAGATGGAGGCTAGCCACACTCACTCTGGTAACAAATATGTATCCTAGAATTATAATTTAGAGACTGACTAGAAATAAAAAAAATAAATAAACAAACACTCATTATTTTGTATTTTAAAAAATAAAGCTTGAATTAAAAAGGAACAAACATACTTGATAGTAAGTAGTACAAAGACAAAAATACAAAGTCCCTACTGAACGGTGTATGCTCCAAATGCTTTGGTTAGATAGAAAAATATAAAAAAAATATTGCAGCAAAAAAGGTGTCTAACCAATACTTTCTTTAGGCTTTAGAATATAAATAAGAAAAAGGAAAAAATTGGAAGAGTGAAGAAGAAAAGTGAGAGAAAGTTAGAAATAAAGATGACAGAATGAGAATTGTAAGAAAAAAATAAAATAATAAGTAATGGCTAAGTTTTAGAGCCAACTCACTAATTAAATATTATTTTGAAAATGTGAAATGATTTTCAATGGGAGAAAGAATTGAGGCTCTATTTTTTTTATTGTTAGAATTACAACCAACCTCTTCTCAAAAGAATTAATTACAAATAAGGTTTAACAATAAGTTTCATTCGAGAAAAAATAAATCCTGTTCTCATTTTAACAATAATCTATTTCATATTTGTACTTATCTATGATCAATTTTTTTAATAGGAGGCTGACTGTAAATCTTCCTTTTTCATTTGACATTTATTACATAACGATATAAATACATGTATTTAATTTATACATACTAGGAGTAAGGGTATTTAGAGCACTTTTTGGGGGCCCTAGGCAATTGACATATTTATGTGCGTGTGTATAATTTGATTGTATTAAAAAAAAGTCATCTTTTAAATTTTATTTATAAGGAAAAAACTTTAGTTTATTTACTTAAAGTACCCCCTTTAATAATTTGTTAGTAATGTTTTAAAAGGCAGACTGGAATTCAAACGAAAAAGATTACTGGGTCTCGATTTTCATAATCTAACCATATTATGTTTTAATAAATGACAAATTATGTATTCCATTTTATGTCTATTACATGACACCTTTAATTATATTATTAGAACCAAAGAAAATGTGTTAAGTTAGGAATTGGAAGGAGTTGACGAGGTAATCAATCACCACCCAAGTGGGACGTGGATAGTGGAATAAAATATTTGATACATTTCTCAATTGAGAAGTAACCCACAAATTTTGAATCCACCCTCTCTGCTCCCCCGGCCCCTCCTTCCCCCCTTTTCCATTCTCATTATATGGTTCCTCGTGCTCATGTTTTGAAAGTTATGTTCATTTTATTTAATTGATTTTTTTATATATAAAAAAATTTACTCTCTCTCTCTCTACTTTTTTTTTGGTTAATAAGTATTGTAAACCCTAAACTATTACGAGAATAGCATCCTAAACTTTGAACTCTTGAAATATACGAAAACTCCTCTCAATTTATAAATTTCAAGCTTTTGAAATCTCGTTATTAAATTAAAAAAAATAACTGTTATTTTAAAGGTTAAGATGAGTGTTACATTAGCGTGCGACTGGGTCCCATAACTACAACACTAATGGTCGTTTTCTCTAACTTAATGATAGGGTTTCAGGCATTTAAAATTTAAAAGTTAAGAGGAATTCTTGCATATTTTAAAAGTTTATAATTTAGGATGTTATTCGCGCAATAATTAAGGATTTAGGATACTCGTTAACCCTTTATTTTATATATATACACCCACATAGGAGACATCCACAATTACAATAAAAAAGTAAACCTTCGGTAAAATGTGGGAGTCTCCTAATTACATAACCTTTTAAGGCTAAAACAATAAATTGACTCTTAAATTGTAAGATTAAGAGTGTCTGTCACTTTAAATTCGTTTTTGGTGTAAGTTTCTTTTTAATTTTTAAAAATGGTTCAATCTGACTCCTACTGTTAACAAAAATTAACTTTTATTATTAATTGACCAAAAAATAACATCAAAAATTTTCAAGAAAGGACCAAAAAAATTCTAGTAAATGACCTAAAAATTATAGATATGAATTCAAAAATTATAAAAAATGACCGAGAAAATTTATTGGTCATTTTTTGTAATTTTGAGGTCCTTCTTTCTTTAAAAAAATTATTTTATAATTAAATAATAGTTAAAGTTAGCTTTTATTAATAATAGGAGCTAAATTGAACCATTTTTAAAAGTTAAAGGAGAACATTATACTAAAAATTAGTTATACCAAAAATTACTTTAGGGTTCAAGAAGCTCTTGAACTTAATTATAGTTTAGGAGTGAATTTATTTTTTTTACTTTACCCATCTTTAATTATCAATAACAGGAATTTTACGGTAAATTCATTAATGATTTTAAATAGACCGGCGAGTTATGCTCAGCATGCTACTTACTTTCGTAAGACCATATCATTAGTTTTTTATATGGATATCCATTAGTTTAATAGTTAATACAATATTGTTCACAAAATTTAATAATATTTGTAAATATACATATAAAAACTCATTTTTTAAGAAAAAAGTCGCCATTGTCTCTCACATTCAGCTTAAATAATGGTTTTTTTTTTTCATCACCTCTCTTCCCTCCATTGAACTGCATTAATTAATGGATAATTGTGAAAAGTTGTATACAAATTGCATTAATTTTTTAAATTGAAAAAGTTAATCATTTTATCCATTCACTTTGACTCAATTATAACTTAGTTTATAAACTTTAACTCATACAAATTACTTTGACTCAATTATAATTTAATTTTTAAATTTTAATTCAATATAATCTAGTCCTTCCCAATAGATTTTAGCCACTTAAAATAGTAGTCCCTAATGTTTAATAATAAATTTATTCTTTATAATTTTATTTTTTAAAATATGAAGACTAACATTTTAAATAAATTATTCTATAAGGATTGAATTGCAAATTGTAATAGTCAAAATTTAACTATTGGATTGTAATTGAATCAAAATTATAGGGACTGAATTATACCAAATCAAAGTTCAATGACAAAACTTTAACTTGGTCAAAAGTATAGGGAAGGAATTGTTAATTTCCCAAACATAGTGAAAATAATTAATAAAAAATTGGATGGATTACTTTTGTTAGGAATATTTTTTACCTCAAAGTTTGGAATACTTTTAAAATATTACATTTGGAGAATATAAAAACAGAGCAGATAGCGTTCAATTGTCAAATGAGGTAGATATATTTAAAATATCTCAGCTAATAAAAAATTATTATTAATTCTAGTCAAGAGTAATAAGGGTTTGCTTCCGTTTTCTTCAAAAAAATTTGTGCAATTGGTGTTTCAAATTCATTGAAGCTTCCTTATAGATTATTATATTTAGGTTGACTTGATTTTTGGATTGATAGCTGAGATTGATAAAGTAAGTAAACTTACAGAACAAGATATACAGTGCGAAGAAGTTTGGAAACTTAAGCGAAATTATTAATTTCAAAGCATATGCAAAGCCAAATTTTTCCCTATAAATTTCCAATAATGATGAGTCAGTTATAAGATCTTGCTTTTAATGATAGAAATGACAAATAATATATCATATATTCTCAATATATAATCATACTAGTGCTACAATTAAGACCGCGGCAATAATTAATTTCTAAGTGAAAAAATCAACAGGTTTACTATATAAATAATTTTTTTATGAAGTCTGAGGCAGTTGGTTGTCTTAATGGCCTAGAAGTAAACACGGCCAGGTAAGGATACACATCCACACACACATATATATGTGCGTCTATGTAATATAATGTTTTTTTTTTTGGGCCTTTCCACGTCAACATATATGATATGACGTGGACAGTGGCCGGGTTAGTATGATATATTTTAAGGGTTTGCTATTAATATTTTTAAATAAAAGCATAATACAGAAGGATTTTTATAAAGAATATTATGGTAATGTGTTATAAGAAAATAATATAATTATGGGTTAGATGGAAAATTAGCTCTTAAAATATAGGTCCAAGAACATATGAAACTCTAATCTCATTTTTTATATAATATTCTCTTTTAACTTTTAAAAATTATATAATGTTACTCCTACAATCAACAAAGGTTAACAGTTGACTGTTAACAAAAAAAAATACAAAAAAAGATAAAAACATTACAAAAAATGAATAAGAAAATTTTCTACATGTCATATTTTATAATTTTTTAGGTCATTTTTTTTGTAACTTTTTATTTGATTGATGGTTGAAGTTAACATTTGTTAATGACAAGTATAATATATTGATTTTAAAAGTTAAAAAAAATATTGCACAATAAATGAATTTAGGATCATACACACACACGCACATATATGCTTCTGTACTTATAATTTAGAAGCTAGTTGGCCATTTAACCCTATAATTATTTTTATATTTTAAAAATTATATCCAACTTTTCATGTAACTTTGCTTCTTCTTCTTTTTTTCACATCACTATTCTCACATTTAGTATCCAATTGGGTTTTAAATAAGATTTCTTGCAATAGTTTTTAACTTCAATTTTTGGGTTCTGGGGAATGTGGGGAAAAAAAAACTCGCCTCAAGTCAATGTTTATCTTCGTACGTGGCTGGCTGTTGTATTAAGTATTCGATATTAGAAAATAAACATGTCTCTCTCACACGACTACGTATAACCATAACCAAACTTTGGAAGAATAAATGAAATTAAACTCCTACGTTACGTTCTTCTCTCTCTCTCATCACCAACTTTAGAGTAATGAGAACTTGGAAATACGAAGTGTTCATAAGTTTCAGAGGTGACGATACAAGAAAAGGTTTCACTGCTAATCTTTTTTCAGCTCTTGAACGAAAAGGCATTTTTGCCTTTAGAGATGATCGACAGCTTCAGAAAGGAGATTCCATTTCAGGAGAGCTTGTCAAAGCAATAAAGCAATCCAGGATTCATATCGTTGTCTTTTCCAAGCGTTTCGCTGATTCTACGTGGTGCGTGGAAGAATTGGCAAATATCTCTGAACTCATCTTCTTCGAATCTGGATACACTGTTATACCAGTTTTTTATGATGTAGATCCATCTGAGGTACAACATCAAAGTGGGAATTTTAAAGAAGCCTTTGATATACATGAGCAGAACTTTAGTGATAATATAGACAAGGTACAAAGATGGAGGCTAGCTTTGACTCAAGTAGCGACTCTCCCTGGCTGGGATGTACGGAATAAGTAAGTGGTCTTCTCTTGTTCTTGCATTGATTTAATTTTCTTACGGGAAAACACAACTATAATTGGTTCCTACAGTTTGATCATGTTTTGTTATTGGTCTGGACTTTCTTTTTTCCCCGTTTTGTTGGGATCCCTATAGTTTTTCTCATCAGGCTGGTTGTTGTTATTATTGTTGTTGTATAAATGTTAGTTCACCTATTTTTAAATTAATTATGATCAGAGGGATGATGATGTAGCAACGCTAATTATAGTGTTAAATTATCTTATGCGTAAATAGTCATTTCAATGCACGTGAAACAAAGATTAGGTGTTATTTCATTTGTTGTTATAGACTTCAAAAACTCATCTCTTTTCTTCTACTTTGATTTCGTTCGCCACACCAAGATACTTTATTTAATTTTTTCTGATTTTGAAGCTATTGATTGTTATTTTTGTTTAGTGTTGATGTTGGGTATATTTTGTCTTAGTGTAGTCAAGCATAGTCTTCAATTTCTTCTAATTGATTTTCATTACTCTATATTTTATCATTGCTACTCTGTATATTTCTTTCTTATTTTTAACATTTAGCAAAAGATTTAACATCGTTAATTATGCATTGAATAATTTAATATCATTAATGCTAGACTATCATTCCTTTGGGTATATTTAAAAATAGAGGGACTGATATTGCAAACAAGAAAACTAGAGTAAATGTCCATTTTTGCCCTTTAAGTATTTTTTGAGAAGTACCCAATATCCTAAATTATTTGGTATAGCATTTCACCTTAAAGTAATTAAAATGTAGCATTATCCGCCCTAATGTTAAATACTTACAAATGTCAATTAGATAGTTGAACTACCTTCTCTCACATCATAGTAATGGTCAACATTTATTATTTAATGTTAGGGTAGAAAATGCTAAATTTTAATTACTTTAGCGGCATAAATGCTACAGCAAATAGTTTAGAGTATTGGGTGCTCCTCAAATAATACTTCAAAGATAGAAATGCACCTTTATCCAAAAAAAAAACTTTAGGGACATGGAGCAATAAAAACAAAGTACAAGGACTAATAACAAAAATACAATAAAACTAGATCAATAGTCATGTCTTCCCTTTTCTTACATATGGACTTTTAACTTTTGGTTCATATTCCCTATCTCCTTATATATATATATATTGTGCTTGTTGATATATTGTTGAGTCCTACGTCGACAAGGCCTCATAAAAGAAATGGGGTTTATAAGTTCAAGAGATCTCTCACTCAATATATAGGCTAGTTTTTTGCAATAGACTCTCCCTTTAAATTTACGTCTCCTTGTTTTTTTAGGTAACAATCACATTCTTTTTCCAGATCAGAAAAGGAAATCATTGACAACATTGTTAACAAAGCAATTAGCGAATTGGGGCATAGATTCTCAAGTTTGGCTGATGATCTTGTAGGGATGCAATCTCATGTAGAAGCTTTAGAAAACCTTTTAAATTTGGAATCATCAAATGATGTTCGATTCGTAGGAATCACTGGAATCCCTGGAATTGGGAAGACTACTCTTGCTGCAGTTGTGTATGACAGAATCTCCTACCAATTTGATGCTTCTTGTTTCCTTCACAATGTGAGTGAAGCATATATTGTCCATCTACAACAACAGCTTCTTTCTGAAATCCTAAAGACAAATGTACGTGTGAGAAACACTTACGAGGGAAGGAATATCATGAGTTGGAAGCTTTCAAACCTTAAAAGTCTTGTAGTTGTAGATAACATTAATAGTCTATCACAATTGGAGAATTTGGTTGGAAGGCTAGCATGGTTTGGTCAAGGGAGTAGAATCATCATAACAACTAGATATGAACATATTCTATATCATCATACACATCAAGTGTCCAAAGTTTATAGGGTTGAACTATTAAAGGATCATGAAGCTCTTCAGCTTCTTTGTTTAAAAGCTTTCAATTGTGATTATCCCTTGAACGATTTTCGAGAGTTGACCCATGGTGTATTGCAATATGCTAAAGCCCTTCCATTAGCGATCAAAGTGTTTGGTTCCCATTTAATTGGGAAACAAGAATCAGAATGGAGAACTGAGCTAGAGAGATTGAAAGAAATTCCTAACAGAGATGTCATGAAATTTCTTCAAAGAAGTTATGATGAGCTAGATGAATTGAAGAAAGAAATATTTCTTGATATTGCTTGCTTCTTTAATGGAGCAAACGTGAACTATGTTGCAAATATTCTACAATATCATGGGTTTGTACTTGAATATGGAATTAGACTTCTCCATGATAGGTCACTCATAAGCATTGTCAATGGCACACTTTGGATGCATGATTTGTTGCAAGAACTTGGAAGGAAAATTGTTCATGAACAATCTATCAAGCATTCGAAAAAGAGAAGTAGGTTATGGTCCTACCTGGATCTTCGAGACATAAACAGAGTGAGTTGTATTCTTGTTAATTACATTATGTAGTCGATCGAGGTTTTGGGCATTTTTTAATATGTTTCTTGTTTTTATGTTTTTAAAACAATTCTGTAGAGAGTAATTTTTAAAACAAGTTTTGAAAATAAAAAATGAAAAAAAAAATTTGTTTGAATAGTTTTTTTTTGTCTTTTTTCTAGTTTTGCATAACAAAAAGTAACAAAACATTACAAAAATGTTCTGGTTTTTTAGTTTTTTAAAAAAAATTTTAAATTTTTTATTTTTCATAACAAATAACAGAAAACGCATTTTCAAACAAAGTATTTTTGTTTTTCAAAAAGAAATATTTTGAAACCATTTAATCAAAGATGCCCTTTATTTTCTTACATTATATGATGTTTTTATTCTTAATTAGGGAATGGAAAATGTTGAAGCAATCGTTTTGAACCAAGAAGTTGGATCAGAGAGTCCATTAAAGGCTGAAGTTTTATCACAGATGAGCTACCTGAAATTGCTTATACTGCCTCCCATGAAGTTTTCAGGAAACTTGAATGATCTTTCCAACCAATTACGATATCTTTCATGGCCAAGATATCCATTCAACTATTTACCTTCAAGATTTAATCCAAAATATCTTATTGAGTTGATCATGTCAGACAGTGAAATAAGATATTTGTGGGAAGGGAAAAAGGTAAGGCACATAATGTAACAAAGAGCTTACCTTTAAACTATAGGTTCAAGAGCATTTAAGACTTTAAATTCATTTTTAGTGCTATGTTCCTCTTTAAATAAGTTTAGGGTCCCAAACACTCATATACCTATAGTTTAAGAGTAGAATTGTGATTTAACCTTATAATAAATGATGAACAATGATCATTATGATGTGTTTCTGTAGAACAAAATTGAATTTTGATTATTATATATAGTTCAAAAGTTTAACTTGTTACTTGTTAGTAACAATAAAAAAGGTTTGTTTATTTACAGAGCTTGCCATGTTTGAGAAGCATAGATCTTCATGGTTCTAAAAGTCTGGTTGAGACTCCAGATCTTAGTGGGGCAGTAAATCTTAAGAAACTAAATCTTGAAGGATGTATTGGATTATTGCAGGTTCATGCATCAATTGGAGATCTTAACAAGCTATTATTCTTGAATATGAGAAACTGTAGTAATTTAATTTGTATTCCAAGTAGCTTGTTTTTGTTAAGATCTCTTGAAACCTTCAATCTCTGCCATTGTTCAAGACTCCGGGAAATTTTTCAAGTGAAGGATCTCTAGAGAACAAATATCTCCTTTGTCTTTTCCCACACAAGATGCACAGACAATAAGAGACACAATGGGGAGCTTCATTACATGGTCGTGCCACTTTGTTTCAGTGACAAAGGCAAAGGCAGCGAAGTAGCCAAAGCCGAGAGAGGTATGTCAATAAAAAGTATGGTTTGATTAATTGTGTTTAGACTCTTATAATTTAACTCACATATATCTAACTTTTTGTTGCACAGTCAAAGAGAAAGAGCCTCTTAAAAGGTAGGATGTCAAGGAATAACAAAGAGTCAGCCAGGTTTCCATCGAATGGTTGTGTCTCTTAATGTTGGAAACACATTCCCTGCCTCACTTGAGACTTATGCTAAGGTTACTAAGATGGCATGTAATGAATCACTTGGGGATATCATTACTTTTTTAGGATGGGCTATACAACATATAAGGCTCGTTTGATTTTGTCTAGGATGAAATTTTAAATGAAATTTTGAAGCACAATATAATAAGCACTAGTTTGATGAGCTTCTATATCAGGTATTTCTTCAATCATACTTGGTTACTTGAATTATATATCATATATATATATATATATGTGTGTGTGTGTGTGTGTGTGTGTATTTATTACCCTATTTATTTTGACATTCAAGGTACTTTTATAACACATTCATGGTCCCTCGTGGCATTGAATTGATGATGTTCAAGCTAGTTAGTCCCTATGAAGTCTCTCCTCACAATGACATTATTGTTGAAACTCTTGAAGATCAAGCAAGTAAGCTTTCAAATCAATTTAAGGACAAGGCAGTAGGCAAGAATACTTTATTCTTAGCTCCTTACTGTTAAGGGTCGCCACTTTCTATATACTTTTAGTACAAGTATTTTTTTATATTAAGTTGTTTGCTAACACTTGTTATTTCTTATTAGGGGGCACTGGATGTTTATTATAATTAATCATGTGGCTTGAAAAATATGGTATATGGATCTTGTTAAGGGAAGCTGAGCAATAAGAAACAAATAATGGCACTTTTTAATAAGTTAAATTGACACTATATTTTAATTTTCATATATAATTTCTCAGATCAATTTCTTATTTCCTTGTTATAGCTGTGATGATGTAACCATGCTGCAGTCGAAAAGCTCATCCCCAGCCCCTTGAAGGCAAACGACTCTATATACACATGGAATTAAGTAAATGTATCCATTTAATTAGCCAAATTTTTAATCAAGGAACCTCAATTATTATACTATTTCATTGATATTTGGTTTTTACAAAGTGTTCACTATAGCCAGATTAGAGTTAGGATTGCAGCTATTTCCTGATGAAATTCATGAAAGATATCATTGCTCATGTCCCTGAGACAATCCCTGATGAGGTATATATAAATCTTAATTAGCTTAAATTATAAATTATAATTAACTTTAGTTAACTTATATAACTTGATTTTGTTGTTGTTCTTTGTAGTATTTCAAAGACATCTATTGTGTAAGGTATGCAGCTGGTCATATTGAAAGAATCCTTTAAGAATTGGTCATGATGTTCCAGCAATGAATAGTGCGCCAATCACTAAGCCCACTTACTTTAGGAGTTTAGTACATAACTTTGGCCAATTTTGATGTGTTAGGCCACTTAGTTGAGGAATTTTGATTGTTTAGAGATTTTGCAAACGCGTATGGGAATGTTTTTTTTTTTGGTAAGATGTTTAGAAATAATTTTAATGAAAATATAGTATATTGTTGATGCTGTATTGAAATCTAGGCTGTATATGACTTTTTTTAAAAAAAAAAAAACCAAATGTGCATGGGGCTACTTTAAAAACAGCTCTCATTTAAAAAAAAATACCATAATTACTTGATGATTATTTATGATATATTTTTTCAAACTTGGGGTTGATCTTTTACCCAAATTATCTAACATATTGATATATTTGATAGTTATTTTAAAATAATCGTTAAGTATTGTCTTTCAGAACTAAAGAAATGTCAAATGTGAAAATCCTTACTTGAAGGACTTTTCAAAATAACTCTCAAGTTAAGGTCTTTTTATTTAATGATTAATAATAGTCAAATAAGAGGATCTTAAATATATGATGTCATCTTATTTGACAATTAAAAACTATCAAATAAGGTCAAAAATAATGGTCAACTTTAACCTTTTTTTAAGTAATGATAGCATCCACTATACACTTGTCTTGCTTTTAAGTTTAGAATTCATATACCCTCTAGTGTGCAATTAAAAAATAGAAAATATGTCATCAGGAGAATGATCTTTTAGTTGTTGTGAATGAATAGAATGAAATAAATTGATTAAAAAAAATAAAATAATGGACTAAAGTTATAATGATCATTTGTAAATTTTTGTGAGAGGAGAGCAGTGAAGTAGATAGAGAGGCAAGAATCTGCTGGTAGCAACAAAGAAAAATCATACTGAGTCCTGTCCAAACACGTTGTTTTTATAGTTATTTCGCCACAAATATTAAATGTGGTAACTTTTCAAGAGAAAGTGTGGAAAAAATCATTCCTATAAAAAAAAAATTAGGGAGGGAACAACAAAACTTAATGGTGTGTTTGGATTTATAAAAAATTTGGATTTGATCCAAATTTCTCATTTAAATACATAAAAAATTATAAATTTAGATTTAACTCAAATCTAAATGAATTTCTTATAACAATTATTTTGTAATTTTAAATTCTCTCCACATATCCTAATTTTTTGAAATTTCAGTCACTTTAAACACCTCATTTTTCCCTTATTTTTACTATTGATATTTATATAACTCTTGTATCTTTTCTCATATCTCATTCTAGCCTTTTGTTGATTAAGAATTAGAGACAAACTTGTCTTTCTCAATTTTTCATTTTCATTTCAAATATCAACTTTTTTATTTTTTTCATTTAAAATTTTTAAACTACACAATAAAAGATTTTAAATATATCAATTTGAAATGTAAGATTTTAAATATAAAATTTAAATCTAAATTCAAATTCATTAATCTAGACGTTATCTAAGAGTCATTCCACCATACACATTGAATGCAACAATTCTTTAGGATTAAACAAACCATTTCAATAAGAAAAGAGGGTGCAGAACAACAAAAATAATTAGAGGGTAAAAGTGTATTGGAGAATCAGAGCTGGAAGCCTGAAAGCTCAAAGGCAGTGTGTTGGCCTATTTACTATCTCAATTTCACATCTTAATATTATTTATACATTAGGAGCTCCTCTCATTTAAGCATTGTGAGAATTATTCCATGGTATACACACACAAAAATTACAACACATCAATACAAGAATTGACATATATAAGAATATCATTAATATATATTCCCAATATTTAATAAATTAATGATTATTACTTTGGGGTAAACTATTCCAATATCTAGATTTTAGACTCTAGGTGATGCATGGGAGATTTAATTCTTAATTTAAGGGGAATGAAAAGGAGTTGGACCAAAAAGAAAATGAGGGAAATGGAACTGTTTTGTAAATTTAAAAAAAAAAAAACAGAGAGACTGAAATATTTTGGGATAACCTTTCAAGTTATCCTTAGCTATCATATATCCACTTTTTTCCAACCCAATTTGGGGGTCAAGGAATGAATAACTTAATATAAATAATATTGTCATAAAAATTTTCATTTTCTCTTACTTTTTAAAACTGGAAAACCATAAATATAACTAATTTAAATATATTAATTTTATAATATTTTTTAAACAATAATTGCACAAAATCACTGATCCCTCCGATAAACAATTCCAGTTCATTAATGGTCATTCTATTTCATTTCATTTATAGTCTCAAACATTCCAATATAAACATTATTGACATCGATATAAATTAAAACTCTCTAACAAATTCTTTTGTTTTGGAATTTGTTTCCTTCATATTGTATAAATGACTTGTTTTGTTTTAGACTTTGCTACCCATTCATATATATTAAGAATGCAAACAAACTTCCCGTTTCAATCTTATGCAAAATTATTTTAGAATTTGTTGCTTTATGTAAATTAAAAATATAAGGAATAATTCGTTATTTTAAGGTATGTAAACCCCACATAAATTAAATTTTCAACAAGTTTTATTTTAAAATCTCTCATCCTTGTACAATTTAAAAAAGAAAAAGCAAATTATACTTTGTTTTATTTCAGAGTAGATTTTACACCCTTTATAGTTAAAATAAATTAAGAAATAGGAGATATTTGTCCTGATTATAAGATAAAAATAAATAACTACTTATTTAATAAAGTTGTTATATGAATTCATGTAAACAACTTAAATAGCATATTTTATTTTAAAATTGGTCTCAACTGTGCATATTAAAAATTTTAAAAATAAAGATAACTTTAAATTTCCTTGCCTTCATATTTATATTATTCTAAAATTTATTACTTCCATGCATGCATATTTAAATAAAAGTAAGATTTACGAGTACTATTTTTAAAAATAACTTTTTAAAATCCTAAGGAATTGAAGCAAACACAACCTTGATTCCTAAAGATTTTTTTTTTTTAAACCTCAATTCCTAAAGAATTCAAACCAACACAACTTAAAGCTTCGCATTTGTTAATCTGTCTCTGTCTAATACGTCATTGAAACCTTATCTCATAATGATAATTCTAAGATTCCATTGAAGATCTCATCTAATAAGACGCCAAGCTCCTTTAATGATATTCTCGACAATTCAATCACTACAGAAAAAGACAATATTAATAGAAAAGGCTAACACAGCGCTTTATTAAATTTGCAAGGCCTTAACGTGCGGAAAAAGCTTGTATTTTTTTTTTTGTGTTTTTAATATATATATATATATATATATTGCTTCTTTCAAAAAAAAAAAGTAAACCGAAAAAAGGAAATGGATATGCTTCATCGCATTTGTCAAAGCTTTCACATTTAGGGCATTGTGTCATTGGTGAGAAATTTCTTGTATAACCCAAGTGTATCATATTATTTGTATATTTTTTATTAAAAAATATAAGGCATTTTTAATTAAATCTTACTACTCAATAATTAATAAATTATTTAATTATTTTTAAATTAATATCATCTTTTCATATTTACCTTTCATTTAATAGGGTATTTCACTTTAAAATAAATATAAAAAATTTATTTATTAAGAAATTTTTTAAAATATATTAATTACACCTTAAAATGATAATAATATTTTAAATTTTTAACAGATGGAGTATTATTTAGTAAAAAAATGACATGCCATATTCGTTTAATCTTACATGTTATTTCTTGCTTATGTCACTTTCAATTATTCTTGCCTTTCTTCTCTTATCTCATTTATGATGTTGATAGAAAGAGAAAATATGAGAAATGAAAGAGACATTTTATTCTATAAAAATAATTAAAAATAAATATATACTCCTCTCATTTAAAAATGTAGGATATTTTTTGACAAGTTAGATGTTAAAAAATAAAAAATATTTTTAGTCTTTCAAAGCATAATCATTGTATTTTTTAAAAGTGTCCCTAATAAATAAATTACTTTATATTTATTTTAGGATAAAATATCTCATTAAATAGGAGTAAATATAGAAAGATAAGGTTAATTTGAAGAAATTCCCTACGTCCCTATATATAAGATGTTTTTAACTGAATCACATAAATTAATAAAAATTAGTTATCTAATTAAAAGCACGGCAAAAATTTAATTTGTCCTTAATTATTGTAAATAAAAAATAAATATCTTTTTTCAAAATAAATTAATAAGAGTAATTATCTTTTTCTTTTTTTAATTTAATAAAGGTATAATGGCCCATGCATTAAAAAATATACTAATAACCTATTATATTTAGAGACAAAAAAAAATTATAAAAAACCTCTTATACATAGAAACAAAGAGAATAAGTTACTATTTTATTAGAGGTGAGATTCGATTAAAAATGTCTTATATATTTTAACAGAGTAACTAATATTTTATTTAATTGAACTAATAGAACATGGATAAAATAATACGTTAATCCATACAAAAATTTCTCTCATTCATGACATCCCTTCCCCTTTTTTCCTTATTAGTTGTCCCTTTCTTTCCCCAACTTTGTGATAATTGTCCACATAATCAAGAATCATAGGATCATTTTATCCAAAAGAAAAAAAAGAAAAAAAGAATCATAGGATCATAATGCATTGCTTATCCTAATATTATATGTTGGGTGAGGACATTATTCTTTGAAGTTTTCAACATAAATAATAAAGATTCATCTACGAAGGTTGGTCTTATGTTCTTTGCTCACTTTTTTAATTTGTTATCAATGTTTGGCCTGCTTTTCCAATCATATTTATATTAAAAGTTCCCTCAAAGTCAAAAGGGTAAAAAAAAAAAATGACAAATTAAAGTTTTTAATTGGAGACTTGCGCATAACAACTCCTCTTCTTCATATATATATATATATATATATATATATCATCACATGCTCCAAGAAATTTCCACCTTTAACGACTCTCTTTTCCTTCTAATTTTCTTGTCTTCCCCACTTCTCCCTTTTTTTTTAATAACTGGCTTCAATCTTAATTTTTAAATAAAAAAATAACTACATTATACTTCCTTCAGTTAAGATTAATAAATATATTTTTTATTTTTAATTCTAATATTGTTTGTTTTAAATGATTTTTTTAAGCATTATTAATTTAAAAAATTAAACTTAATGTCATAATTTGAGAATATTTTATCAATATTT